GGTTTTATGCAATAGGTAACATGTTGCTATCCATAGCAGATTTTGCAGGAATGAGTGTACAATTGGCATCTTCAGTCGTTTATCATGTTAGTTGTGCCATTATTGTTTACCATCACATTTTAACATACAATAATACGAGATACACATACTTGTTGCTTTCCTTGCCATGTAACTGCATCACATTTTTTGTTTTCTATTACGTTTTTATACTTGATAACAAATTCAAGAAGATGTTCGCATTCTTCTTCGGCGAAATTGGTGGTTCGTCGCCTTTTCTCAATCTCCATTTCCAAATTTTAATTATAAGGTTAGAACAGGTTAGAATATCGTCAAAATACCTAATAGTAGGTCTTTTAACCACATAAAGCTATCAATTTAACATAATAGACCAAAAAATCCCTAGATTCCTTGGTTATCTCAAGGATTTTTTAACTATGAGATAAATGGAGGTGGTAGTACGCACGACCCTATTATCTACGAGATAAATTGTATCTTATAGATAGCTTAACTAACAGATAGCATTGGTTTAAGCTATCTAAGCGATTATTACCACGGTTACGGCTATTTTACGCGCTCTGATTGGCTAGTAGATGGGTTTATCTATAAGATAAATTTATTTAAAAGATGGACCTTAGCCAATGAGAGCGCTTAAAACCGCTGTAACCATGGTAATTATCTATCGGTTAAATTTATCAAGAGGTGGTAAAAGTGGGCCTTAGCCAATGAGAGCGCTTAAAACCGCTGTAACCATGGTAATTATCTATCGGTTAAATTTATCAAGAGGTGGTAAAAGTGGGCTTTAGAGGATAATTCGAAATATAGAAGTTCGAGTTAGGGGAATTTCACTGTACTTATATTTTTGTTCTAACCTGATCTTTGGTCCAATCCGTAACAGGACCACTTTGCCAATAATACGAGCTACGTTTATCGCTAGCAATACTACACGATGATAAACTGAGGTCGGATGGATTCATGGTGCTCCATGATTCGTGTCGTGAGGGTGAAACCGACCCGGAAGATAAACTGGATGGCGAAGGTGGTGTGGGTGATGCCCCGGATTGATGCTGCCATGGTACTGTGCCTGGTGGTGACAAAGTTACGGGTACAACTTTCTTAACTGAAAAATTATCCCTCTCAGACAAACATCGACGGCACACATCCAATTTGTTAATTTAATTAATTTGTTATTTTAAAGCTTTCAATCATAAAAAACATGAAATTTAAAAAAAAAAAGATAAATCTTTTTAAATTAATTTATCTTTTTTTTTTGTTTTGATGAGAAGTTAGTATATTTTTTTTAATATTAGTTACCTCTTTGGTTAGCTTCGCTGACTGCTTGCCGGATTTCTTCGAGCAAATGCTGAGCGGTGCTTTTTGATTTTTCGCTAAGTTCGTCAGTGGAACTCGTCAAGCTTTCGTTTCCCATTCGCTTTTCCCTTTCAGCCAGTACCTGTCAATTAGGCCGATATCGTATTTAAGCATCGAAAAATTTTAGTTGTTTTAAGCACGCGGATGTTGTTTTAACAGAGCCACGAAGCGATTTTTAATTAATAGTTAGTAATTTTTTGATAATGGTTAAATGAAAAATTCATGATTTAACAAACTTAAACAAACATTAACTTGCGTTATATTTGGAGTTTTATTTGATATCTTTGTATGTTTGGATGATTTGAGTGATCATTAAAATGATCTATAACAAATAAAATAACAAATTTTATTTTATTTTATCATCAGTTATTTATATTTTAGCATCAGTTATTATCACGAAGTTATTTGCGTATATCATATACAATATGAATAGACGTTGTTATTTTATTTTCAGCGAAAACAAAACAATTTATCGCCACGATTTAAGGAGATTAAAAACCACTCCTTTGTAGAAAACCGGACATATTGAGAGAATATCAGAACAAAGAATTCCAAAGGTTTCTTTCCAGTTGATATCGATAAAAAGGAGGAAATGAGAAAGATCAAAGATCACTTGAATAAGCGGAATTTAAAGAGTAAAGTTGGAGAGAATCTTATAATCAAGAGATTGAGTATACATATATTTATACAAAGAATTTGACTTAAAATGCAGTATACCTTATACTGTTTTTATGCGAATTTTTTTTACGCGATTTAATTCGAAAGAGAAATTTTAACTTGGAATAATTTTCATACTAAAATTTCGTGTACAGGGTGGTTCAAATTCGATGTCCGAATAGGCTAACTCGGAAACTATAAGAGTTAGAAAAAAAGTAGCTTACATGTCATGATCTCGTTTTTCAAGAAACTGCTAATGCCGAAAACCTCATAGCGCTATCGTCTTTTGTTTTTCCCCTAGAGGCCAAAATTGGAAATATCGTAAAACCAGCAAGTGCAATTATCTTCGTTATTATTATAGGTGGAGTATTATAACTAAGACATTATATGGACACTTTTTTATAGAGAATTGGATGACGTAGTCAAAAAAATTTTTTCGGTTTTAGATTTTGAGATATCACAATTTTCGTTTTTTTAAATGGAAACAACCACTGATTATTCGCTTATTAAATTCGTTATTTTTTTCTGATTACAAAAATATAGGGTTCGACAGGTCTATTTCTTATTGTTTTAGAATAAAGCTAAAAATAAACTTTTTTTTTAAAATTTCCATCTAGTGTCGTCGAGGAAATTAAATTTACAGTTTCCTGTAAGTTACGGGGCGGTAGGTAAAATCTAAAAAGTTAACAATTAAATACGAAGATAACTTCTGGTATTTAAAAACAAATAATTTTTTAATATGTAACATTCTAACATGTCAAACTTTTCAAAATTTTCGTAATTGATCTTAAAAACAGGATTTTTAAAGTGACACTTCAGAAAATTTTTGAATACAAACAAATGTTGCTATGTTTATTTGAATTAAAAAAAAAAATATATGAGCGCCATCTATCAATAATTTATTAAGTCATTTAATAATAATATTAAATATTAATAAAAAATGTGAAATAATGCAATCTATTCCAACTTTTATTTAAAACAAATATAAATTAAATAGTTTAACAAATGTATTTGTTTCAAATATTAGAAATATGTTTTTTTAATTTTTAGTTATGATTTACAGGAAACTGTAAATTGAATTTCTTTGACGACACTAAAAAAAAAGTTTATTTTTAGCTTTATTCTAAAACAGCAAGAAATAGACCTGTCAAACCATATATTTTTGTAATCAGAAAAAAATAACGAATTTAATAAGCGAATAATCGAATAAGTGGTTGTTTCCATTTAAAAAAATGAAAATTGTCATGATATCTCAAAATCTAAAACCGAAAAAAATTGTTTGTCTACATTATCAAATTCTCTGTAAAAAAGTGTCCATATAATGTCTGAGTTATAATACTCCAGCTATAATAATAACCAAGGTAATTGCGTTTGCTGGTTTTACGATATTTTCAATTTTAGCCTCTAGCGGAAAAACAAAAGACGATAGAGCTATGAGGTTTTCGGCATTAGCAGTTTCTCCAAAAATGAGATCATGACATGTAAGCTACTTTTTTTCTAACTCTTATAGTTTCCGACTTAGTCTATTCGGACATCGAATTTGAACCACCCTGTACGTTCCTATTGAAACTAAAATGAGGAGGCGGTCAGAAAATCTGTTATTGCTGGGACAAAATTGAGTGCTTCATACAAAATCAAACACAAGACATATTTTAAAGTTGAAAATGGAAAAGACTGTGGTAATATGGATGCAGGATATGTCTCAAAAACGAATACCAGTTGACGAAAATAGTAACAAGAATCTACAACCAGATTAAAGAAATTGTACCACAAATGTCAAAAAAGACACGCGCTGCATTGTATAAAGATTGAGGGTGAAATTGGATCTGCAGATGATCAAACAGTTAAAGAATTTCCTGCAAAAATTGCTAAAATAATTGAAAATGGAAAATCAAGTATGGAATGCGGAAGAAACAGATCTTTTCTGGAAACGTATACCAAGTAGAACAAACGTACCTAAATTCTATAAAACGGGTAGTTTGTTTAAAGCAGCCAAAGACCGCGTAACTTTATTTTGCTCTAATGCGTCAGGAAATTGGATGTTAAAACCTTTACTTGTAAATCGAGCTCTAAAACCGGAGCCTATGAACGGTGTAAATTTAGACACCTTACCAGTTCACTGGACTGGTAATAAAAAAGCTTGGTTGACCACTGAATCTTTTAATTTTAATGAATGGTTTCTCAAATATTTTGTTCCACAAATTCGGTACTATACAGACTTTCCCAAAACTCCCGGAACGGAGCTATAAGTTTTGAACGAGTGAAGAACATCATAAAGAAGTCATAAAAACTACATTCTTAAATAGTTTAGAACTTTCATGCAATGTGGAGTTTTTTTAAGGGATGACTGCCCCTACATTTTTAAATAACAACCCCTGTCGAGTTTTACCTTATTTTAAAGGTAATGGAAAAAGAAACACAATCCCATAAAGCAAAACCCGATACCTTAATTCTTTCAAGAATTATGAGGGGTTGACACCAAATGGGAAAATAGAATGTTTTCATGATTTTTTGCACGATTTTCATAACAAAATATGTTTTTGTTGAACATTTAATGTTCAAATTGTCGACTTGCTTCGGTCTCGCAATAACCCAAACGCTCATGGATGGAATTTTGAACCATTAGAAGCATATCCCCCTTTCTTCAAGTATGCAATTTTCCAAATCATTTATTGATTTCAGAAATCCCCAAAAGAAAAAATTGAGTAGTGTTAGATCAGGTGATCGTGGTGGCCACTTAATTTCACCTCTACTACGAATCCAACGGTTTGGAAACGTACGGCTTAAAAAGTCTCGGACTGCGCGACTAAAATGTGGAGGACTACCATCTTGTTGGAACCACTTATTGTCAATACTATTAGGGCATACAGCACGTACACTTGAAACCACTTGATTTTCTAATAGTTGCGGATATCTGTCTCCATCCAAATTTCCATCAATAAAAAATGGACCAATTACATTCTCTCCTATAATACCAGCCAATACATTAATTTTGTGCGGTCTCTGAGTATGACCTTCTGTTATTAAACGTACATTTTCGTCACTGCAATAACGACAATTGTGTCTATTAACTTTACCATTCAAGTAGAAAGTAGCCTCATCAGAAAAAAACAACGTTCAAAGGAAAATGTCTGCCAACATCACATTTTTCACGTACTATTTCACAGAATTCCAACCTTGTTTCGAAGTCACCTTCGTTCAATTTCCATTTTCCCATTTGGTAATTCATAATTCTTGAAAGAATTAAGATATCGAGTTTTGATATATGGGGTTGTGTTTCTCTTTTTATTACCTTTAAAATAAGGTAAAACTCGACAGGGGTTGCTATTTAAATTCCCCTAAAAAAACTCCACATTACATGGAAGTTTTAAATTATCTAAGAATGTAGCTTTTATGACTCTTTAGAGATCCACAAATTTTTAAATTTTGTTTTTCACTCGTTCAAAACTTATAGCTCCGTCCCGGGAGTTTTGAGAAGCCCTGTATAAATGATAAAGGCTTTGAATTTAAGGTTCTGTTGATTATAGACAACAGTCATCCACATGTACAACATCCAAATGTTGCATTTTATTTCCTTCCGCCAAATACCACTTCCTTGACACAACCACTAGACCAAGGAATTATTGCAACCTTTAAGACCTATTCTATGCTTTTCAATACAATTTAGATCAATTAACTAATGATAAAAATTCAACAGTTATAGATGCATAGAAGAAATTTTCTATAAATGACTGCATCAAACATGCCAGATTAACACTATCATGTTGGAGATCTTTGGTCAGAATGTGTAAAAAATAAAGATCATGTGGCTTCTAATACGGTTGAATATTCTAACATAATAGCGTTAGGTCATGAAATAGGCGCAGAAGGATTCAATGATATGTTTGCAGATCTTCAGACGTATGGCACTAGTTCTAGGTCTAGTGTTAGTCTAGTTTTAATTGTTATGTAGCGCTAGATTGTTGTATATTTTTCTTAAACTAACCTTAGAACTAACACTAGACCAAAAACTAGAATCATTCAGGTTCATTCAGAATCATTCTTCAAACGACTAAACCCAAATGTTTCTAGTTCTAGGTCTAATGTTAGTTATAGTGACAGTACAAGTGTAAAACTAGAACTAACACTATACCTAGAACTAGAATCATGCAGGCTTAGCGGTCTTCAGAGATGGTTAAACCCGATACTTTCTAGTTCTAAGTCTAGTGTTAGTTTTGGTTTTACACTAGCACTATCACTAGAACTAACACAAGACCTAGAGCTAAAATCATTCGGGTTTAGCCGTCTTGAGAGACGTGCGGCTAAATCCGAATGTTTCTAGTTCTCGGTCTAGTGTTAATTTTAGTATTGCACTAACACTAAGAACTAAAACTATCACTAGCACTAGACCTAGAACCAGAAACATTCGGGTTTAGCCGTGCGTCT